GCCTGAAAAAATGCAGAAATAGGTGACTCTCAGTCTTTGAAAGTAACACAGTTTAGGAAGGAGTAATAGGTTTTAAAACGTTTTGATTTGAAGCAGGTGAATATGTAAAATTTGTATTAAGGTTTGAGGCTTAATGCAAAACCCCTGATTTACAAATGCAGGAACCGTGCTCCCTGGCTGCCCCTAATGATCCTCTTGTTTAAGCAGAAAAATGTTATGTAAAACTTTTTAATTTAAGTGACTGGAACTGTTCAGCATTCAGTGATGGTTTCTGTCATGTGTCTGTATAACAGCAAAGCCCGGACGGTGTCCACCCCAATCATCTGGAAGAAGATCGTGTACCAGTTCCTGTAAGAGTGACTCTAACTGTCCCAACAATGAGAAGTGCTGCAGCAATGGATGTGGACGTTACTGTACGGTTCCATATACAGGTATTCGTGTTGTATTGTTTTGGTCAGATGATGATAATGACAAAAAATTTAGCGTTTTGTTGTTCTTGTCTAAAGTAGGTTTGAAAGTAGGTTCTGTCTATATGCACAAACTAAAGCTGACTATCTGTGTCCTCGCAGTGAAGCCGGGTCAATGTCCCAAACCGAAGAACATTCCACTGTGTGCTGAAAGCTGTTTCCATGATGGCCAGTGTCCTGCCACACAGAAATGTTGCCCAACCACAAATATGGCATGTTTTCCCTGTTTGCTCAAACAGTTTAGAAAGATTTCTGTCGATCGTCCCCCGCCCTTCCCTCAAATAAAAAGTAAATTGCTTGTTTGAAGAATTGGTGTTTTTGGTATCATTTGGCTGTTTTCTCACATAATTGCTTTCTGGCGTCAGTGCTTTGTGTAAGTTCCTCTCCCTGAGACCTGGACATTTAGGGGGAAAAGTATTAGACCATTTTTACAAAATATACCACATAATGTCATGGGGAGTGGCACCAAATGTTAAGAGTGACCCTAAAATCTTTTTTTTTTTTTTTTCTTTGTCCTGACTGTTTTCCGCACCTTCTCCAAACTTTGTATTTTTCTGTCTTATGGAGGTTCTTAAACTGGTCAGGAGTGACGAATGCATCTGCCTCATGGGCTGCAGTCGTCTTTATGTCAGGGGCGGTTCCAGGATTTTCGTTTTAGGGGGGCTCAGCCCCCAATGAGGGTATTTATTTATTTATTTGTTTATGTATGAAAATTGCAACATCGTTTTATAAAGTCTACGTGTTCATATGTGCTTCATTTTCACTGGAGGAAACCTGTGGTGTGATGAGGGGTGAACTCAGCGAAAACTTAGGCTACAGTAGATAGGGGAACGGGTTGCTCCGCCATGCTATTTTGTAAACTGTATGACGAAGAACTGCACAGATGCAGATATAATAATCTATCGATAAACGCACACCTTGTCCTCCGTTTGTCGCTCTGCGCCGCCGCCGTCTGCAGATTGAAAAAGAACGCCCTGAAAGACGGAGGAGCCGTTTTCAGATGACATTTAAAGGGGACTGAGGCGATCCCGAATTCGTGTACAGTTTATGGAACTAATCGCAAAATTTTAGAGGGGCTGAGTAGTTATTTTAGGGGGGCTATAACCTAAAACTGGTCTAGCGACGCCCACGTTTTGTCATCCTTTTTTTTTTTTTTTTTTTTTAAAGCACATTTTAAAATTGTACAACTTTCTACTGTATCTGGATTTAAGTATAATTTGAGTACTTTTTACACCCCTGTAAACGGGTAATGCCCACCTTCATAGATTTGATTGGCCAACTGTCATTTTGACTTCGACAGCACTGTTAGACCGCTGATCAGCTCCGATGAGAAAGTCCATTATCTTTGCGGCACCAGTGTTCAGTTAGTGTTATTAGGCAGTTATTTCGCAACTTTTTGTAATAAGCCTATAAACGCCGATGTCCGCATCTCATGCTGGGAACGGCAGTGTGCTCAACTTCATGCGGAGCTGCGCAGACCGATCGGCGAGAGTTGCAGCTTGCAGTCGGGGGCGGAATTGAAAGCGTACGTGAAGTCGGACTCTTTCTGCTTTCCATAGAGATGTTCGCACGGTGTTTGCTTTATCACATATTAAGTGACTAAAATGCAATATTTGTCGAATACAGACGTTTCAGAGACCTTTTCATGAAACAACAGAAACACTTCATGTAGGCTACTGCAGGCATCTGATAGGAAACGTCATATAGACGTATTGCAGATGAACAAACACTCTAAAAAAAAATACATTTGAAGATGTAAATGCAGACGTCAAATAGACATTTCCGTGAGGAAGGACAGAGGTGTCATGCCCATTCACACGTGCGCCCTCAGTTTCTTGAGCAAAGTGGATTTTGAATGCAGCATCCAAAAGACAAAAAATAGCAGATTAATATTTTCTATATTTAATACAATCACACTGGCGTGATTAGAACACTCAGTGCATCATAGCATTTATTTTGAATAAGATGGTTCACATGTTATTAGAAGGGAAGCAAATAAGAAAGTTTGTGGGAACCATAAACTAACATTTCCGAACATTCTGAGAACCAAAAATCGTGATTTGTGTCCAGAGCTAGGCATTAGCCTACTTACAAATTGTAGTCCGTTACTGATTCCAAATTACATGATTAAAAAGTGTAGTTAGTAATCCTTTACACACATTAGGTACACTGTAAAAAAAAATTCCGTAAAATTTACGGTAAAAAACCGGCAGCTGTGGTTGCCGGAATTTTACCGTAAAAAATACAGTAGCAATGTTTTCGGTTTTACGGTTCAATACCGTAATTTCATTAACTGATATAATGTTAATATACCAACCTTATTGAAGTACTGAAATCTGTTTTGTACCTTTGTAATGCACTGATATCCACCAAATGCAGGTGGTGATGAGAAAGTCACATGATGAACCAAAGCCCATCACAAGCAGCTTTTAAATAATAACATATATAGAAGGTGCACAGTGTCATTCACACAAACACCAAACACCATCATGGTAACACGCATGAAACTGAAATAATGCAATAAACATTCATTTAACAACATTAGCTGTAACACACAACCCTAATATACAAAACTGATAAGAAAAAAACTAAGAAGAAACATAGTTATTTCAACAAAAAACATCAAATTTGAAATGTAACGCAGGGAATTCTGGGAATGTCAATTTATGGTTATTCACTGTAAATTATATGGACTTTTTCACTTCCAAAAACGGTATACTACTGTAAAATTTGTCCAATACAGTTTTTCACCTTATATAGTAGGGGAATTTACCATTAACCATTTAACAGGTTTTTACTGTAGCATTTTTACAGTCTTTTACCGTTAAATTCACGGTCATTTTTTACAGTGTAGGCTAATATAATCAGGCTACTTTTTGATTATTTTTAGATTACTTTTGACCTAACCCGTTTATTACATTGAATTAAATAGGATAATCGTGTAACATATTAATATAAAAATACAAAGAGTAAAAAAATATATTCCATTCATTGTAATTAACAACATGAAGTGCACTAAACATTACGTCAAGATTTCCCAAACTGCGGTTCGTAAAGGAACTGCAGGGGTTTTGTGAGTTGAATGAAAAGCTAATAATTAATTAAATTATATAAATGTAAAATTTAAATAAATCATTTGAAAATATCATCAATCAAAATAAAACACTTAAAAATATTTCAAATATTTTATTTGCTTACGTGCATGTCATGTGACCAATAACCAACATCAGAGAATCATGAACATGCAAGTGTGATACTTAATTATTAAAATATTTATTTTAAAATCTCAGGGGTACTTCAATTAAATATATTAGGTGAAAGAAGTTCAGATGACAAAAAAAAAAGAGTTTGTAAATGCCTGTATTACATGTAAATAACAAATAACGTGAATTTGTGCATTTTAATGTGTTTTAAAGACAAAAGCCTTGCAAACAATAGTAATATATGGTTAACACATGCTGTGGTCACATGCTGTGTAGCCACCTGACTAGTGACTGGTCTTTGGGTGAATGTCCACAAAACGGGAAGACTTTCTGAATGTATATAAGTGGTAGGCTATTTTACAAAGGAAAATTTAAAAGATGAAAAAGAGGAATATGGAGAATATATAAAATATGAGTAATTTATTGCTATTGTGTGATATCATGTAATCAATAAAAAAAGTAACTAGTCTGATTATGAGTATTTTAAAATGTAATGTAATCTAATTACAAGTACAATTATTACCCAGCTCTGTTTGTGTCCAATGAGGTTTACCAACCCTCCTTTGTTACTAAATTCACATATGTGAGCTGAATTTATTTATTTATTTATTTCATGTAAGTTATATAAATATATCTTTTGTGAAATAATTGTTAGCATTCTTTCTTGCAGTCATGGTAGCTAAATTATTATCATTATTAATATTATTTTGTAAGAATATTTATAATAATACTTGACCGATAATTTATGAATTAATTTCTACACATAGGCTACATATCATTCAAATTGATCAATTATAATCTAATTTACAGAATTGTTAAAGTTGTCACAATTTGTAATTATTTATTTAGATTTTATTCATTTTTAATGTAGAATTGGTTACAATTCCTTGCTTCTGAAACCCCCAGAGGTTCATAGAGAAATTGCATGAGTTTAGCGGGTTTGTGATAGAAAGACTGTCACATAAACGTGTGTTTTAGATGCATATGTATTTGTATATCTAAAAATATTTAAGAAAATGTGTTTAATATCAAAATTCTATTAAAGTATAGGTTTACTCTGATATCCAACACAAATAAAGTCGTTACATATATTATTCATTATATGTATTAAAAGATCAGACAATTACGTGCAATATCACTTCATAAAATAAATAGGATAATCTCACTGAATTCACCCTAATTTAGATCAATGGAGTGATAGTATTGATATATATTGAAGTTCTGCTGACGCTATAAAACTGAGTTTGAGTAGTAACGTTCTCCTACGGTAGGGGGCGATAAAGCTCTCTTGGTGTGTGAGCGCCGCGGTGCGTGAGAAATACGAGAAGGAGGCGCTTCGCTCCCGTTAAACCACAACAAAGATGGAGGCGCGACGTGACAGCTAGATTTGCATTTTTCATAGCGACGCGCTCAAACTCGCGCTGAAGTGAAGATGGACGCGCCGCATCTACCGGAACACAGCGCGGAGAAACGCGTCCGTATCGTCGGATCCGAGCTGGTGGAGAATTACACGGTTAGTTTGATATGGTTCGTTTGGGTCGGTTGTTCAGCGCATATTCACGTTTATGATAGCAGTGTTTGAATAAATACATGAAAGTGTTTTATATTGTTAGATTTGGTGGTTAAAAGTATTTATTTGGTTAATAGATTAGTTGTGTAACCTTTTAAGATAAAGTAGACGTTTTCATAAAGCACGTTTATTGCATAAGAGCGGATGTTTGTTAATAATAAATAAAAATATGAGGATAATATATCAATATTTAAATGAATTTCGTGTTTAATTGTTACTAATTAATAATAATAATAATAATAATAATAATAATAGCGGTTAATACAGTGTCAGGCCTTTTTAATTATTTGCATGATCATTTGCATAATACACAGTTATATTGTTATGTGGATTGTATGATAAAGTGGAGAGGTGTTTGTTGGTTTGCAGAGATTAAAACACCCATTAATGAGAAATATTAGCGAATAATGTCATATTAATTATGAAAAACAAATGTAAAGATATATATATTTTTTTTTAAGTATATATATTTTCAGGTTTACATCATAGAGGTGAATGTTGGAGATCACAGGTGGACTGTCAAGCATCGATACAGCGACTTTCACGATTTGCACGAAAAAGTGAGTTATGTCATCAACAACAGATCAGACCTCAGATATTGACATTGTGTTCATAGTTCATAGTGAGTGACTGATAAAACTGATTAAATGTTGTTGACTTCAGCTCACTGTGGAGAAGAAGATCGATAAGCATCTGTTGCCGCCCAAGAAGATCATCGGCAAAAATTCCAAAAGCCTCGTGGAGAAGCGACAAAAGGAGCTGGAGGTTTATCTCCAAACGCTCCTGAGCAGATTCCCTGCATCGACCCCCAAAGTCCTGTCTAACTTCTTACTCTTTCACTTATATGTAAGTTTTTATGTGCTTTGTGTGTGATAGGAAGCAGAAGATTGTAAACAGAAGATTCCTTTTTATCTGTCACATGCTGGTTAAATGTTAACCGTAGTTTGTGTGTAATCCATCCAAAGCAACTGCATGCAACTCTTGCTCTGTTGCCTTCATCCTGTGAAGATGAAACGTGTTGCACTGCATTCTCTCATCTCAGCCTCAACCATAAATGGTTCTAGGAACAGCAAGGCCTGTTATCTGGCCGTAAGTCATGTTCTCGTGCTCACAGTAGTGGTATTGATATTGATCTCTGTAAGGCTTTTGTCTGGAATAGGCATATGACCGGACTGAGTTGTTTTGGAGCGCAGACGAGCTTTATGTTTGTGCACTTGTCCTTGATTGGCATTTTTGGCATTGGCATTTGTGCACATCAACATGCATTAGAACTCATTTTCTCAGAATGCATAGAAAGAAAAACAGTTCTAAACAAGATATCATGAGGAAATCAGAGTTATTTCTGCATTTCTGGCGAGATCTTTCAGGAAATGAGTTGAAGAAGCACACGCAAATCATTAAAGGAGTAGTTCAACAAAATATGAAGATTTGCAGAAAATGTCAAGATGTAGATGAGTTTGTCCTTCCTCGGAACAGATTTGGGGAAATGTAGCATTTCATCACTTGCTCACCACCAATGGATCCTCTGCAGTGAATGGGTGCCATCAGAATGAGAGTCCAAACAGTTGATAAAAACATCATAATAAGCCACAAGTAATCCACACCACTCCAGTCCATCAGTTCATGTCTTGTGAAGTGAAAAAGTGCTCTATCCATAATATCGCGTTCTCCTGTGAAAAAGTTGATTCGTCTGAATAGGAGAGAAATATGCACAGATTTGCAAGCCAAAACAGTTCTAAATAAATGTCGTGTGGATTATTGTGATGTTTTTATCAGCTGTTTGGACTCTCATAATGGCGGCACCCATTCACTGCAGGTGAACGTCTAAAACGACCAAATGTAATGTTTGAATAAGGTTTGTTGTGAGAGAATCCATCTTTGACTTGAACTTCATTATTTTCAGGAAATCAATGGAATTGCTGTGGCCCTGGCTGAAGAGCTCTTTCATAAGGGTGTGTTGTTATTCATTCCTAGAGTTATTAAATGCTTGAAATGTACAGCATTCAATGTATTGGCCGATAAACAATGTAATGGGCTATATTATGTGATGTGATGTGATGTGATGTGTCATGTGGCCAAGTATGGTGACCCATACTAGGAATTAGTGCTCTGCATTTAACCCATCCAAAGTGCACACACACAC